GGACAGCTTTGCTCGTGTGCTGCAATGTCTGCCCGTCGGATCTTAACTGGACATGCGTATTTGGATGCGGCGCAAGGAACCGCAACCTCTGGACATGACTCAATGTGTTCCCGCAGTGCCCCCCTAGTGACAACTGTCTGGCAGTCGGCACATGTGACCTCAAGAACTGGACAAAGCTCTTTCTCATGCTCCTAGGCGTTTCTAGTCAGCATCTACATAATTTCTAAGAAGTTAAAAATGGAACAAACCTCGTATTCATGCTCTAGAATATCTTGTTCGCAATAAGAGCACCGTCGCACTCTATGAATACACTTCTGATCCATCCCAACGTCCTTGCTTCGCGTCATCTGATCGCATGAATTATCCGGACACGGCAATAGCCGGTAACCACAGTACTTCTCGACATGCGACTGGACATGGCCTCGGGGAATTATCTCTTGACATCCCTCCGTTATCAGTGGACACCGCACTCGGATCTCGTCGCACATGTTGATCAGCAGGCGGGGCACGCTAGTTGACACCACATGAGTGGGATTTCGGCAAGAAGGACACGGGAAGTCGTCTGAGTCGGTCGAGCGGAACGTGGTGATGGCCGAACTGAGGCAACTCCCGCAGAAGACATGGTCGCATTGTAGACGAACGGGTTCAACGAAGGGACAGTGGCAGATCGGGCACATAAGGTGCGGGTCGTACTCGGAGACGAGATCAAGGCTGCGGAGGTCGATTAGCTCGTCGCAGTTGCGGCTTTCCTCCATGGCTATGAAGTCTTGTAGATTCATGTTGTGCGAATTTCAAGCCTGTCACGAGGTTTCCAAGAAAATATGCAAGGTACCAACGGACTTTAATTCCCTATGTTGTTGCTTCTTTGGAATGCGGAATCAGTGCGCGGATTCATGCAGTTTTGCGCTAGATACCGAGGTAGATCGAAGAGTCTGAATCCATTAGGATGACACTCAGAAAACAATCAGGTCAGCGATCAGAGCCATATGCCTGCAAGACATAGACATGTTAAGATTGAACTGAAGAGAAGGCGGGATGACTGCGGGGGATCAAGGAGAGGCAAAAGGCGGAAAGCGGTTGATCCGCACTCGTTGCCGCCTATTCCTCGTCTTACCATCTCCACTTTCAACCTCATAAACATCTCAAACAGTCTGACTTTATCTTGCTTGGCTGATCGGAGGTCTTTCTCCGTACGGTCCGTACAAACGCCCACGATTTATACATCTCAACAGGCTGGGATCTCACACGTCTCATCATGACGAACCCTTCCCAGCTCTTCCTACTCGCCGATCACATCAAATTATCCCTTTTGGAGCGCGAAAGAGCAATCTCACTCGATCTCGAGCCTAATTCCCAAGACGGAGAGATCTCTTGGTCTCTCGAGTCCCTCCGAGAAAGCATAGAGGCACTGGAAGCCGAACAAACCCGGCTAGCAAATTCGCACGACAGCGCAGGCGCCGCCGCCCTGAAAGACCAACTCACCCCTCTCCAAGCCCAATATAAAGACCTGTCGACCCAGTTTTACGGCGCAGATGGCGAGCCATCGAGCAACAACACGACACAGGCGTCGAATCCCGCCACTCCCGATCTCAAGCAGCCAATTCCCCAACATCCACCTTCCAAATCCGTCCGCTTCATGGACAGCTCCGCGGCAGCGGCAGCCGTGCAAGATGAGATTGACGAGGAAGACGAGCGCAACCGCAGCAACCTCTTCCGTCCATACCGTGATGAGCCATCGCCGCGACTGGATCACTCCAACATGGACAACCAGCAGATTTACGACCACCACGCTCAAACCATGCGCGACCAGGATGACCAGTTGGATCGGCTGGGTGAATCAATTGGCAGACAACATCAGCTGAGTATTCAGATTGGAGATGAGCTGGATGGCCATATTCAACTTCTGGATGGAATGGATGGGGACGTCGAGCGTCAACAGACCCGACTGAACGGTGCGAGACGGCGGATAGATAAGATCCGTCGAAAGGCGAGCGAGAATTGGAGCATGATGACTATCATTGGATTGATCATTATTCTGGTCATCTTGATTGTGATTCTGAAATGATACCCTGATCCGGGTGGATAATTGGATGGCTGTTCTTTTGTCGCTATTACTCTTTTACATTTTCTTTCTTTTTGGCGAGCGGGCGTTTGCAACTTTACGCAATGCGGGACGATTGATTCTCCTGATGTCTTTTCACAGTGGCTCGAGGCATTATAAAGCAATTGACTCACTTCTAGACTCCTGGTTGGATTCTTGATCATAATACATCTACAACCCTGACCTTTGATCATAACCTTCAGTTCATATCCAATAGAAAAAGTGTGAACATCCATTCTCATTGAATGCGATAAACTCTAATAAATCGACTCCTAACAGCCTCATCTGTAGACTACCCCAATAAAATACACGTGAGATAAACGAGGGCCGTGATCGAAAAGTTACAAAATGCCGATACCTTTCACTTAATGAGCGCCCTTCTGGCTTCGTTGTTTCGCCTTCTTCGCCTCCTTCTGGGCCTCCTGGAAAGGAGGATCGGCATCTAACTCACCGCGATCCGCTTTGACCTGAATGAATCCAGTATATTAGGTCTGGTGAAAGATGAAATCTAGGGGCTGGTACTTACCTCTGCCTCGCTGTTACTAGCCAGCTCGAATTTCCACTTTCCACTGCCCTCCTTGTTGTTCTTGAGGCCTTCTTGCTTATGGGATTCGTAGTGGTGGGAGAGATCATCGCGGTCTGCTTGTGGTTAGTATGGATTGGAGAAGCTGGTGGTGGTAGTGTACTGACCCCTATCATCCTCTTTCAAGCCCCGGGCTGCTGAGAAGTGGAACGTAGAAGCTGGAACGGCCAAGTTTGTCCGGATAACTTGGCGAGATGAGGCACGGAAGGAGGTGAGGAATGACATGATGTAGGTGATATGAGTTTAGATGGAATGGTAAGAGTAAGTGGAAGACAAGATAGATTTGGGATATATGGAGGAAAGGGATTTGAAATCAAGTAATTGGAACTCTCTTCCGGGCAGACGGCACATTTAAGAGCATCTGGTTCGGCCAAGGTGACAGCTCCTGATGCTATATGACATCATCGAGTTGGTGGGTCGGCTATATCAAACAAGGACATGTGAACGCACGTACAAGATAATATCAGTTGAGGCGATTCCTTCTGAGATAGATATCTGAAGATCTGGAGCTTTGGAGCTTTGCCATAGTCCGTTGGTGCGGATTGTTCTTGTAGACATTTCTACATCTATAGAATCTCCCCGCATAAAGATGTGGAGACCTTCCGACCTCTTAACTGATCTTGATTTTGGAATAGTCATAATCGCCAATATAATTCGAAGGCTTTAGTCAAACCGACTTGACTATCTTAGGTATAGTATCTCAATCGTGAGACGGGAGCTTCGGAGGAGCGAAGAAGATTCGGGACCACACTTCCTCACTGTCGATCCTCAGTGCCAAGTTTCCTTCGTCAGTCATGGTCGTTCAGATTCGGCCAACTTGATTCCAGTCCATACTTGAAAATATCGGAATACATGGATGTTGGATTGTTTGTTGGGATAGTGGTCGTGAGCGTAGTACCGATGTGGCAGCATTGGAGGACGCAGACAGTAGGAGATATCAAGAGGAGATGTCATTCTCGACCCACTTATTATTGGAAACTTATAATCTATCTCTCTGTGATTGGTACATGCGTATTCTACCACTTCTTTGCTTTCCTGAGATATTGAATATCAATGTACATTTTTCTAGATGGGCTTACGTGGACTGTGACAAGAAAAGTAAGTCTTTCAGCTATCGCAAGCTACCTAAACCATGATAGATCCAAGTCAGCGCATTTCCTAGGACTGACAATATGACCGCTGCTTTTGAGTAGTGCCGACCCTCCTGCGAATGAGGTCGAGCTAATCGTCTTCGTTCTGTGGAATGGAGAAAGTCTTTGTGTAAACCAATAGATCGTAAAGCCAATAGAATTTGTGCAAGCGACTCTCTCCGTCACCTTTAAGGAAGAAGATATCGAAACCCAGTGCATAGTCTGATAGCACATAGTCCGGAGTGGCTAGACCCGGGGCTTTTAAGAATCATGATTAAAGCGACGAAGGAACCCTACATGTAGATATCTGGGTTACCCATATTTTGAGGGATGGTTACGGCAGTTGACAAGGAGTGATTGACGTGGCCGAACCGCTTCGTTACTATTTGGCTCCATGACGTGACCTGTTCATCCTGGGGGCGACAATTGACCGCGATAACGGTCCATATCCTTTATCACCCCTGAGAACAACATAGTTCTAGATCTGGCTATAGAGAGAAGTCTATAGAGGTGTCGAGGTGCGTGGTGCGTGGTGTATGGTGCATGATGGAGATTGAAGACTTGAGAAAGCTACATGTAAGTTGCTAGAGCTGAAACCAGACATAGCGAAGTGCTGGGTAAGCCATTCCAATTTGGTGATTTAGGACAATACGAGCTTCGGTTGAACCAAATGCGAATACCTATATATGCTCCCCGACACCTTGCTGCTTTAAACAAACACTTTCTTGTTTATTATTGTGTTGTCAATAGGCTGCCGTAGGTTGTTTGATGTTTTTCAATCGTTGCTTTATTCCCAACAAAGATGGGGGGATTAGGTGGTGCATCAATACCAGACGTCTCATAGGATTGGTATTGGTCCTCAGCGAACTTCAGCGGAAGACCTGCCTAGGCCGTAGTGTTGTGTTTTGACTACTAGTTAAATATTTCACAGGTATTCCTATGCTTCATCTAATATAAGTCTACTGGGAAATAGTTCATTGAGGAAAATGAACAATCTATATTCTGGTATTTCATATCACTCTATCAATCATGCAACTTAACTAAAGACAAATAAGCAGCTAAATCACGGACAAAGATACGCAGCTCCATAAATCGCAAACAGCTAACAAGATCGAGTTATATACGCGGCGAAGACAATTGAACAGACCGGGGGACGGTTGAATGGACGCACAAGATTCCTAAATGTTTATGCCTGTCTCCAAGCTTTGTCTTCAATATCAAATCGTATCTGCATAATAGACCTCTTCCAGACAAATATTCTGGTGATACGATGTGTACCTCTGGGGAATGCCGACAAAACAATAGCAGCCACTCCTTTCCCAAGCTCTGTGCCTAGAATGGCCTTATATTCGGGGGTATCGAAATCCCAGGCCACTTGCTTTACTGATGCTGGAGATAGCAAAAACTCTCGGGAATTAGGTGGTTGAGTTTTAGCCCAAATTGTTTGTATAAAGTCCTTGGTGTCCGCATTGACAACATTCTCGAGATAGATATGTCTCAAGGTAGTCCGGGCGAAGTGAATATCGTACTGTGCAAGGGCGACTTGACTCCACCAAGGTCCATCGTATCTCTCAACATTTCTAACGATAATAACTCCTACTGCAGTCGAAAAATGATGAAAGTTAGTTCCGTGTTTTCTTATTGGGTGCTCAATGGTCGATCTCTTTGAGACCTTGACATCGTGGTAATCTTCATTACCTACAGGGAGGCCACACCTTTCGAGGTCATCTTGAAGGGCGGGGGGTCTTGCGGCCCAGTGGTCGAAGTCTACTTTCCATCTTTTGCTCCGCGGTTTAGCACGGGTTAAGCTTCTGTATTCGAAATCTGGTGCCTGAACTGTGCAATTGGGCTCGTCTGCATCATCGATCCATCTTTGTCGCAAATCTCCCCACATCTCACGCCTGCCATACTGATAAACGTTTAGGTCAACGGATAAGGAGCGAACTTGGGAGGGTGGGACAATGGGATTATTGGCAGAGAAGGCAGGGTCTTGTAGATCTATCGGGGCATCGCCAGGAGAGAATTTGCGGCGGCGGCAGATACCGAAACAACTCAAGAGACAACAATTCGACATCTCTATGAATATATTAGATTGGATCAAAATGTATAAAACTAGAGTATCTTGAGTGGTGTATTGAATGATGAACTCTTATTTGTCTGTATGATACCGATAGAGGCTTATATAGATGTGAGTTAAATATGTGGCGCATACTCGACCGTGAGTATCGCTTTCAAGAATATACAAAGGGGACAACAAGAGGACAGGAAGAAGAAACATCGTTCACAAAGAGTCGACAAAAATACCAGCACTCGAACAAGACAGACAATGATAATGGAAGCTGAGATCAAGTCCCAAATAGACACTAAGAAGTGGACAAAGAAATTGAGTCAAAGACACAGAACAAGGAGCACAACAAGTGTGATGGGAATAGCAATTAGACGGACTATTGTCAACAAAGAGAACATTCTCGTAGACCAACAAAAGAGCGTGGACAAAGAAGTTAAAATGCAAGAATACATGTCTCGATCTCTAATACCGAAGGCCAACTAGGTTAAAATTCGAGATCGGCATATTCAGGCCGAAAGATGATCATTATATAGCCCGGTATATACTCTGTTCCAACCTTATCGCTGTGATATCGACTTGGCTGCAAACTTATATCCATCCGCTATTGCTGCCTACAACCTTGCATGCCTGTTGACTTGTATCTGACTTGTGTATCCCATTTGGAAGATGTCGAATTGCGGGATAAAATCATTCAAATCAAACATGTGCATGGTTATTCAGGTTGTTAGCATCTTGTGCTCTAAGTTTATGAACCTATCACGGGAACTTTAGTTATTCTACGGAGTACTACCCCTGAACTAGATTTAACGCCAGCGGGTACTTCTGCAGGGCCATTTCTCCGAGGCTTCTCCTGTGTCCATACGCATCTAAGAGGAAAGGGGAAATGACACTGCCAATCATTGCCAACGCACATGTGCATTAGCGTATATTGTAGTACCTACCGTGTATTCTTGGTGGGGAACTTGGTATTAAAACTCGTAGATCTACCTAGAATTATCCATATTTAGTAGGATTTAGTTATGCCATAGTGATATATATTTCCCAAATCACCTTAGAAACTCTATTAATTGCTTTAGTATATATCGCACTGAACAACCGAGGTATCTTTTCAAATGAAGACCATCTTCCTAAGTGTTCTCCTGCCGGCATTAGCCAAAGCGACGGCAACAAGTGGTAAGTTCACTGCGCTGAGCTTCAACGTCGCAGGTCTGCCATCACTCTTCCAATCCAACGATGTCAATGGCACAAAGAGCGAAAATGCCAAGCAGCTCGGCACTTACTTCTCAGAGTATGGCTACGATATCATCCATATGCAGGAGGTATTGCATCATCGAGTCTTCCATATATCAATAATCTAACAACGCTCTAGGATTTCAACTATCATGCCTACATCTATGAAACAGATAACCACACCTACCGGACCGCTACATCTGGCGGTGCAGCCATCGGAAGCGGTCTGAACACCGTTTCCAACCACGACTGGGTAGATTTCACACGCGTGAAATGGAACAAGTGCTCCGATGCATCGGGCTCAGACTGTCTGACGCCGAAGGGCTTCACATTTATGCGCTGGAACCCGGCCGATGGAGTCTATGTCGATTTTTACAACGTTCATGCCGACGCCGGGTGAGTAAAAGCCATTCTCACATTGTCATCGATCTAGGGACTGACCTCCATCAAGAATCGAGGATGAAGACGAAACTGCCCGAAACTCCAACTTGCAGCAAGTCGCAGATTACATCGACACCTGGTCGACTGGTAATGCCGTCGTAGTCATGGGCGACACGAACAGTCGATACACGCGCGCCGATGATACGGGCATCCGCGTCTTCAAGTCCCAGAATAGCCTCGCAGACCCCTGGGTCGAGCTTGAGAAAGATGGTGTTTACCCCACTGCTGGAGCAGATGCCTTGCTATGCGACTACCCGTCTTCTGTGCAGACCTGCGAGACGGTTGATAAAGTGCTGTACCGGGGATCCGAAGTTGTGACGCTCAAGGCAGACAGCTTCATCTATGACGGTGGGAAGTTCACAAACACCGATTCCGAATATCTGGGCGATGTTCTCTCGGACCACAACCCGATTCTTGTCAAGTTCACCTGGTCGCTTTCGTCATCGCTGCGACAAAGTCAGTTCTCTGGAGGTCCACATGGGGCGTGGTTTAATGATCTGCCGAGTATCCCTTCATCGCCTGCTGTTTCTGTGATTACTTTTTCTGGTGCGGAAAGGCTGGATGCTGTTGCTCTAGAGTTGAAGGACGGCACATCGTTCAGCCATGGAGGAACTGGTGGCACTAAGGTCTCCCTTGCACTAGACTCTGGGGAGCATTGGACGGAGACTAAGCTCTGTACTGGGCAGTATAATAGCCACACGCGCAACTTTTATATCAAGGCTACTACCAGTACTGGTAGAACCTTGGAGGCAGGGACCTCAACTGATAATTGCCAGACATTTACTGTCCCCGATGGCTTTGCGGTTGCGGGTTTCATGGGACAAGCCGAGGATGAGATCGATCAATTGGCTTTGGTATATGCGGCCTACTAAGGACCAAGGAAAGCGATTATTCCAGATACAAATCTGAATATGCAGTTGTTTATTTGCCATTTTGGTCAATCGTATCAAATCATTTATGCAATGTATGTCCCAAACGCCGAGGTATTCCGTAGAAACCTTATCCATATGCACCGCGCTGTGTAAATAAACCAAGAAGAACGAGCACTTTAATCAATCATATCCTCTGGAAGAACATCATCCGGGTTCTCCCCAACCGCTTGTCCGACCAAGCGCACGACGCGCTTGATTGCCTTGGACGCGGGACTGTCAGGGAAGTTGTCCACAAAACTCTCACCAAAGTCGCACGCCATGCCAACGCGGGGATCCAGAGGCACAGCACCTAGGAAAGGAATGCCCATTTTCTTCGCCAGCCGGCGACCGCCGCCAGTTGTCGCTCGGAATATTTGCGACTCGTGCGTGCAGTTAGGACAGACAAATCCAGACATGTTCTCCACCAGGCCCAACACCTTAATGCCAGCCTTGCGGCAGAAGTCGACCTCCTTGCGAACATCCAGCAATGAGACTTCCTGCGGGGTTGTCACAACAACGGCACCGTCAACGCCAGACTCCTTCAGCAAAGAGTTGACAGACAGATGTTCGTCAGAGGTCCCGGGAGGCGTGTCGACAATAAGATAGTCCAGCTCGCCCCAGTCCACATCCTTGAGGAATTGCTTGATCAGTCCGTTCTTTTTAGGCCCACGCCAGATCACCGCATCGTCACGGTTGGGCAGCATGAATTGAACGCTCATCGCGCCCAGGTTATCCGTCACCCATACAGGACTCCAGCCGGCATTGCTGATGTGAATAGTCTCTGACTCCACGCCCATCATCTTGGGGATCGACGGACCACAGATATCGGTGTCCATAATGCCGACGGTAGAGTCCGGATTTGCGGCAAAGGCGTGCGCAAGAAGGGTCGAGAACGTAGATTTGCCAACTCCCCCCTTTCCTGAGAGTACTAGGATCTTGTGTCGTATTTGGGAAAGTCGTTCGGTGATGATCGGAATGTCGGGGTCGGGGCCTTTAGGCGCGGTGGCGCAGATCTGTTGGTTCGGGCAACCGGCACAAGCATCGCCTTGGCCAGCTTGCTCGGATTCAGGGCCTGGGCAGTGTTCTGCGGAGAGTTAGTGTGTGTATTGCGGCAATGGATTTAGAGCATGCGTACCTGGTTCGGGAGCGACGAGGCTGGGCGTCACTTTGGACGACACTGCAAGGGATTCCTCATACTCCTCCAAGTAGGGCGCCATTTTGGGTTGCTACTCTGTGTGGCAATTGAAATGAGAGCAAGCGCGGAAAATAAGAAGATAATTGTTATGCCGTTGCAAGAAACAGATAAATTCGACGTCCGGTGGCGGATTGATGCTTGATAAGCGGGGATGACTAAAACCCCACTGCGATTGGCGGGGCAAGGCACATCTGCGGTGTCGGAATGTGAAATATCTCATGTTATTGATATATTGATCGCCATAGCTGAAGCTATAAAATACTGGGGGGAATAAGGCATTTTAAAGAACTAGCTTCTGATGATACATAATTAGTTGACTATCTCTTATGTCCATTTGCCAAGCCGACCAGATCTGTATGGGATACGAGATTACTTGATCGGGCTCGCATCACTCCTTTCAACGCAAGAAGGTCAATATTTATCTGCCTTCCTTCCTGCTTCTCTTAGGGGGTTTGTTTGAGCGCAGACCCGGTCGTGCTGAAAAGGACCTCAGCGCTGGCCAGATCTACAGACACAAGTTTCAGAGCGATAGTCGCAAACACTTCAGACTCATGTGCTTCTTTCCTCTAAGATTCGAACTCGGCTTTTTTGCTTCTGCGGCATCGACATGTGCTTGATTCATATGATAATCAGGATTTGGGACAAATTTTCCCTGCTTAGTCTGGACAATTGCGCGATATTGTTCGATATTGTTCGATATAAACACACAGTAACCAGCTCAGATTGCAGCTCAACTATCTAATAGCACGCATTGAAAAATGATTTCCAGTTCTATCAGAGCAGGCGGTCGATGTTGCAGTCTTACGATATTTCAAGCCTTGTTTGAAGCAGCTTTTCGCATCTCCAACATGCCTTCATAGCGACTGGTCGGACTTTCGCTTTCTCATTTTCCAGAATTTCTGTTTCTCCACGGATGTAGACCCGGTCATCGGATCCCTCGCGGACAAAGCACTCATTCCGCTCATCGAGGAGGCCGAAAGCGGTATTCTTCCGTAACTCATACACACTCTGTAACTACCTCGTGGACATATCTAAATAGTCCGTAGGGTTAAAGAATTTCGGGCCTATCAGAACCTAATGGCCAGAGTCTTGATCTAGCGCTTCCACGGCAGTATAATGGACGTGGCTCAGTGCAAAAGATTGCATCCAGCATGCTCCTAGGACAGGCTGCAACTTGGATTAGATTATCCCCCGTTGTATATCGCGTAGTACATACAACCCAGTGAGGT